GATACGTTTACAGTAGGGCTCATTCATATACTACTCAAAAGAAGTTAAGGACCTCACAATTCTTTCATAATACCACAGTTAATCTGTCATGCCATCTTTTGAGTGGGATATGATGGAAGCAGTATTAGTGTTTTCATGTCACCATGTAATTATTACAACTTGCGTATGTTTACTGAAATAATAATCCCATTCATATTACGGTAATAAAATGTTTTTTTTAATTTGACTGGATGAAATAACAGTTGGGCTTCAACACATAACAAATGATAACAATCTCTAGTTCGCATGTAAGTAATTTGGTTGGTAATCAATTACCCCTACCTTTGCGTAGCCCTTCTTATTACCACAGGTTTCCGATTTCGGAGATATTATCAACACTTCTATCAAGGAAGTCATCACACCGATATTATCACAGGCCCGCTAGAGGTATGAAATGATTAATGTCTTAAGCTTACTGAGATCTTAACACAGTATGAAATAGCAGGTATTGTTGGTAGGGTAGGGGTATTCAGCATATCTCCTCAGTATGTATACACATACATTAGCCAACTGTGTTAACTTATCAATGGATCGGGAGTAAGTCAAGTTGTTTACTGTTGAAATCATTGTCCAGTTCTGTAATACAAATGTCGGAGCATTGCCAGAGCAAGTCACTCAGCTCTACATGACCATGAATAGGCAGTGACAACAGTTATGTGTACATGTGAAAGATGTTATGACTGTTTTCATAATATTTATGCTATACATAGAACAGTACAGTCACCGTGAGTGTTTGACCAAGGATGTCATTATTGCTGAACATGTCTGGCCCGACGCACCTCTCTGTACACAAACATGGAGGAGATATTGGTACAGTTTGGTCACACAAGATCTGAGACACTGTACACTCATTATGTTGATATCCAAATTAGTTGGCAAGTTAATGCTGTGTAAACTTGGATAATAATTTATACTGTTGGATTTGAACACTGAATTCAGGATAATGGTAAGTACAGGATGACGTATATCATAAAACTGTATTTAAGAAATAAACGATGAGTGGAGTTGTTTCTCGTACAATAAAACACTGCAGGGAGAATAAACCATGAGGGCCATATCCCTGATTGGTTTATTCTCCCTGCAGTGTTTTATTGTACGATAAACAATGACCAGGAGTTGTATATTTCTTATATCAATATTATGTACAGCCTCTTTAAGGACGATGATGAAATGTACAAGCTTTAAAAATATTTACCCGTACATTAATAATGATGACTCCCGGGGTGGTCTGGTAGCCTAGTGGTTAAAGCGTACGCTCGTCACGCCGAAGACCCGGGTTTGATTCCTGACATGGGTACCATGTGTGAAGCCTATTTCTGGTGTCCGCCGCCATGATATTGCTGGAATATTGCTAAAAGCGGTGTAAAACCATACTCACTCACTCAATGATGACTCCCTCAATAGAATCCGACCTCGGCAATGTCGGACATGTCCATTTTATGCACAGGTGGGTATTCCCCACATATTTTCACAATCATCATGTCAATAACCTGTACCTTTTCTCCCAATACTGATTGTCATATCTCTCCTGCTTTTGAATGCGATCGTTCAGCCATTGCCTTTATCTGCGTTGCCCAGCTACATCTATGGGGAACAATTCACTTGACACTCCCCTTTCAAAAATAACGTCATCCAATAAACGACGTCATCAAGTTTCGAGCTCATGTTTGAATCTCTTGAAATGATGTCAGGAAAGAACAATGTTTTATCGTGAAATTAAACACACTTTGTTCTTCATTGATCTTTGCGATTTATCACGTAGCTATCTTATATACATGGATATTGACACATTTTTGTTCTACACCTGATTATTATTGTTTCTTTTTTGCCAAGCCCTATATTTCTATTTTTGTGATGTATATTAATATAGGATACATGCATAGAGAACTGAGAAAAGACAGAGATGAAAGCTGAAGGAGCTTTTAGTAAGCATTTATAATACTAATATTGTTTAATTTTTTTCGGGAAATAACTTCGAATTTTGATGTTAGATGTTATACTAGTAGTCGACGTAATAAGCGCCCAGGGCACTCTCAAAATTAGAAATAGAGGGCTCTTATTAAAATATTATTTTGGTGAAAAAAGAAACAGAGTTGAAAGATAAATTTCGTGGTTTATGCTGACAGCCTTAAATGTTTATATACGACAGATATATTATTCCAGAATTTAACTCTCCCATTATTAAGGGTGCATATAACACATGAGTGCGTATTATACACAAATAAATAAGTCTTGTGTACATTGATCAATCGGAAGGGGTGCTAATTGGGATTGTTCACTAGTCAATATGTTAGCAAATATCACTGTGGGCGCTTATTAGAGCGGGGCGCTTATTACGTCGAATATGGTATTAAAAGTGGGTAATATCATCCAGTAGATAAAGTCAATAAAATATCTCTGGATGATAACTTACCCCGAATCGGCCATGTTACAGGAACCTGTAATACGATAAGGCTTTGACCTGGTGAGCCAGTGGTTGATAGTGAGAGCAAGACTGTATGCTGTTGTGGTACTTGTTTACCTAGTGTTGTGCCACAGCATGCAGGTGCAGCAGGTGTCCCAGGGAGGTTGTCAAGTGGCACTTAATACAGGTAGAATATTGATCACAGAGAACTATATACCTGTGGATGTTAGTTTTCAGTTAGCTGTGCAAATACACCTGCAGAAAATCTGCGTAAGTTTAGGTATTAAAATGTCTTGAATGCACAAGACACAATTTTAATTTATCTGCAGTTTGTCTACAGACATAACTGTTTGATTGGCATTTTAGAAGTTGGTAGGTAAATCAGACAACATATAGCTTTATGGGTAACAACTTCTTGTTTATTACATTGAGCGATGTTTCGATGTAGATTTTTACACTTGGTTGTAGTCACTCCAGCTTGATAACGGTGTAAGAATCTACATCAAAACATCGCTCAATGCAATGAACCAGAAGTTGTTGACCATAAAGTTGTATGTTGTCTGATAAACTAGGGTAATTTACGATTAAGAGTCCAAGATTTCACACATTGATTCAGAGAGCATTAATCAATTCCGAAATATTACCACTGATCAGGTATACTAAAAGTGAATAAACATCAAAGCTGTGAGTAACTCATTTGGGGTTATATTTTCAACAAGATAACACGATTACCAAACTCAAATTGCCAAACCCCCAAAGGCACTCCTCCATTCCTTTCCCCCAAATCTGTATCCCTGCTAGGTTTGGAAAATCTAATCTGTTCTTTCCCTTCAAAACATAACTACCGTATATCGCTGTGTATAAGGCGAGTTTTTCGTACCTAAAATGAGAGGTTAAGAAGGGGGGTCGAAGATCTCACATTCAGGTATATTCTTGAAGTACATGGTATTCAGATCCTGCACCCTTGGCCTGCACTGCCCCCACGTGGGAGATAGAGCACCATCAACGACAATAGAGCACCTTCAGCGACAACAACCACTAATTATAGCCATTGTGCTCTCCACCTGACACCCCCCAGGGCCAACTGGCAACTCCATGGTGGGCGTGTGTGTGTGGACATGCTGTTATATGTCGTGCGTGGGCCAATTGTCCTGTGAAGATGTACTCTTCATGATTCACACAGATGGATAAACTGGCTGTTTAATTTGGCTTGTTAGTATCCGGCAGTTGTATAGTAACAGTAGATGTAAGCCATTTGAATGGAGACTATATTTAAAGCTGATTTGCACTTAAAATTATGTTTATTCTGTGGCCTATTGCTTTGTTCGCACATGTTCTTAACATGATTATAATTAAGGATTATTTGCCCAATCAATTAGATCTCCTGTTCAAATTTGATCTCCTACCTTAAATATCAGATAAATGGAACCATGATATGATGGGGAAAATTGAAAATATTTTTCCATCAGTTTTGATATATTGGTAATATAGCACATTGTAACAGTATGGAAACTAGACTTTATGTCAAATGAAACAATTCCACAAATTCCTAAAAATAATGATTGTGTTGATCAAAGTTATTTTTATGCAATTAATAATTGTGCTATAGATATTTTTTTTCAATTTATTTATTTCCTCTTTAACCCTATACCATATCTGTTATCACTCTGAGGGCAATATAGGACACACAATAGGACAATATAGGACAATATAGGACACACAGTTTCCTCTCATCACACAAGGTCAGATACGCCAGCATGACCATTGTCAACAAACCACAAGAGGTATTGAACATTCCACTGGCAAAACATCTTCTGTCAATCAGAGTCTCATTTCAACTTATCTTTTCCTCAAGAGGGAAAATGTGTCCACACTTTGCTTGGGTTCTACAACAAGTGACATTTGTGCCCAAACTGTGACAATTAGGGCTGAAGCTGTTAAAGACTCCTCTTCCCTATTCACAATTGTCCGAACCTAACCCTGCACCAGTTCTATTCAGACGGATTCTTTTTAAAGGCTATTTGTATTGAGTCTGACAAAGGCATTCTACCCTGTGCTCTGTAGAGAGACCCTGTGACATCAAGAGGCTTCAGTCGTCCATTCAAGATACCAGCATGTTTGCCATCTCGGTCTTGAATGGGGCTGATATTACAGCCACTGTATTAGAACTTCAACACTCAGCTTTTGTTACAGCAAATAGTTGCCCGAACTTTTTTCAGTTTACTGTGAAATTGAAGCAGAACAACCCAACTGTGTTAAAGGAATCACAGGTGGTTGTTTTTGTTGTAGTTTCCTCATATATGCCAAACAAAAAAAACAGTGATGGAGCTTTGTGGATACCATCACCAACTCACCATGAAATTGATCCAGATTGTGTAAATTCTTGTAAGGTGACTTATGGGTGGTGTCCTTTCATGGATACACTGTTCCCATGATAACCTGGGATGAAGCTAGGCGAATATTGCTTCTTTCTGGTCACCACGAAATTGAACCAAATTGTCTGAATTTTTGTGAAGTGAGTTATGGCTGGTAATGTTTTGATCTATTCTCTTTACAGTGCACCTCGGATGACCCTGCGATGGAGCTTTGATGATAATATGACTCAGCTATTCATCCCGTCATGTGTGGATTGTGGGAGTCTCTGAAATAATACAGTGCAATAACTAACTGAGGTATGTCACAGTAGGTCTTTGTCATGACAAGATTTCAGATCTGTCTTTTGTTCAATATGATCTTCCTTTCCACAGTTGGCTTGTCATACATCTTGTTGATGTGAGGTATGTTTACACTCAGAGATTATCAACAGCCCATCACTTGCTTTCATTTTGTGTGGTTTCTTTTTTTAGCAAATTATCTTTTGACACTTTTCAAGGATATTGTTTGCAATTATCCTGACATAGATGCTTTATGTCTAGTGTGATGGGATTTGTTTTATTAAGGAATTTTTTTAAACTTAATATACCCGGTAGTTATTTTCATTGAATGGTAAAATGTAAGAAGTAGAATATAAAGTTAAGAAAAGAAATTTGATCACTGATTTTTCAGTGAACCTTTCATGTAATTTTTACTGCTATTTTACCCTTTATGACCAATGGAATTTGCTCAGGAGATAATCAAGACTCGTTAGTCTCTAGTCTTTGAAAGGCATTTAGAAGTGATACGCATAAGGAAGAGAATTTATTTCTACCTTTTGTTATCTTATTACTTTTGTTGTTCTCACATGAACATATATATTCTCTCTGTCTCATATCATTCATTCACCTGATGAAGGAGAAAGTATATACTCCGAAACATTGTGTTCCTCATAATGAAGAAGTTGACGTCCATAAATCCTCTTCCTCATGGTTATTCTTAGACAGACTAGGTTATTCTCTGCCGTTGACTTTTAATATTTTCTCATCAGTAAAACCATTCACCCACAAAAAGAATAAATGCCAACAGGAAAATTGATTAGACAATAATTCATGAAGAAAACTAATCTCAACACACAACCAAACACTTGTTTATCTAAATTAACCATATTGTTTATGAGCAAAGCCGGCAAGCTGCTCTTGCCAACACTCTGGAAACTTTATTTGGTAAAAAGAAACAAATTGTCTACACTGTGGTTGAAAGAACATTTTGTGACATCACAGAACAGTTTTAATGAAAGTGAAACAAGCCATGCATGGGACACAACCTGAGTCAGAGTCATCATGCCCCCGTAGGTGTAGGTGCTTATTATGGCCTATACATACACTGTGTGTCAATGAGCCACCTGATCAGGAAGAGCGCAGGTCTTCATCAGATGACTCTCACAGGACTTGGGGTAGCACGTTCACTGTTGGTAATAATTCACGCATCTGAGGTAGGTGGGAAGTGCTGTATGTCAAACACTGTTAATCTGGATGGTAGCTTTCATACCAAATTTGTTTTGATTAACAAATTTCTGTATTAACGAACCATGGTTAGGAAGTAACGTCATCTGGTATACATAACCAGTAATTTTGTTTGATAGGCATTACTTAGAAGTTGATGGATGGCAAAGTAGACACAATTTATGGATAACAACTTCTTTAATTATTTCAAATTATTTCAATTTATTTCATTATAGATCCTTATACCATTGTCAAGCAGGACTTCTGTAATGGTGATGTTTCGGAAAAAATCCTTATGCCGTTGTCAAGCAGGACACAGTCCTGCTTGACAATGGTATAAGGATCTATACTAAAACATCGCCTTTACAATAATTAAAGAAGTTGTTATCCATAAATTGTGTCTTCTTTGATAACCATCTGTAACTACCAACTCATAATCACATTCTCAAAGCACCAGGACTGTATATCCTTAGACTATATCCTATGTATCTCTTCCATCAAGTATAGATCTGCAAGTCACACACTCTTGGATCTTGAATGTAGACTCAAAACTATGTTTGTTTGTTCCGTGTCCATTACTCCAGTAACACTTCTATAAAGTGTCTCTATTGCCCCTTTTGTATAAGCCCAAACACCCAGCCATGGCCCCAGAACAAACTCAGGGTTCCATATTCACCCATACAACACCAATCTCACCTTTCTAGTACTTCATTTTTAAGCAATACCTGTGGACTAGATGCAATTTCAGTGGGGGCTTCCATCATGTGTCTCTATTAACATTAGACCCGTGAAGATCTGTGGTAGAATAGGAAGCCATGCTTGCTGTAAAAGGCGACTATGCCTGTCGTAAGAGATGACTAATGGGATCGGGTGGTCAGACTTTCTGACTTGGTTGATGCATGTCATCGTGTCCCAATTGTGTGAATTGATGCTTATGATATCAATCACTGGATTGTCTGGTCCAGACTCGATTATTTACTGACTGCCGTCATATAGCTGGAATATTGCTGCGTGTTGCCTTAAACAACAAACAAACAAACTCTATCACCATCAGCCTTCTACTATCAGCAAAAAACATCCCCAACTAAAAAGAGAGTAGGTATTTACCACACCCTATCTTGCATCCAACCACACCCCACACCACGGTCCAGCACCTCTTCCACAAAGTGATCCTAGCGCTACAGTTGTCGTAAATCTATGTTAATGCATGGGAGTTACAGTGGTCTTAGCGCTAAGATTATGGAATGGGGCCCAGAGATCCAACACTATCTGTAGTCTATATCTTCTATGGACATTTCATCAAGTATCTCCCTGTCACATTCACTATGACAAATAGCTGCCTTATCTTAAGCCTAGATTGACCTCTTGTGTCCAGGATCATTTAGACTGATTTATATATTAAAACACTGTGTACACCACTGAAGATATTTACTCAATATGTACTGATTATTTATGATATGTTAAGTCTGCTTGGTTCTAAAGGCTTTAGGTGATATTTGTGAGTGTTGTTTGAAGTAGATGGGTGATCTGGGTCACTCAAACATAATTTAATATCACTTGTATCTACTTATTGTTTTGTAGAACATTTGCAAAATGTGGATGTCAAGACTTTTAATGAATTATTTACCTTGAAGCAGAATGATTTTATCATTATCATCGATGCTTAATGATGTTAATAAATATATTTTGTTAATAAAAGAATTAGAAATTCTTTCTGTACTTGAAGGCAGACAATTAGCAGTAAAGTAGGACATGCTTACCCTTTTCACGAACACATGGTGTTTTCACTTAATTTTAGTGATCCATTCATATAATTGTCACCACTATTTAGCCTTTTACACCCAATTGAATCTGTTTCGGCAGAAAATCAAGACTGATTATTCTCTGGCTTTTGAGTGAGTGAGTGAGTGAGTGAGTATGGTTTTACGCCGCTTTTAGCAATATTCCAGCAATATCACGGCGGGGGACACCAGAAATGGGCTTCACATCTGGCTTTTGATGTTAAATGTATATGTAAAATGTTAATTACTCATGTCATGTGGTTGGGTAGCCAAGTAGTTGAAGCATCCACTAAAGCACAGGTTTAGTTCCCAACATTGGTACCCATGTCATGTGAAGCCCATTCCTGGTGTCCCCCTGTCATGGTATTGCTGCTATATTGCTAAAAGTGGCAAAAAACTCAAGTCACTCACTCACTCACTCTCACTCACTCACTCACTCACTCACTCACTCACTCACTCACTCACTCACTCACTCACTCACTCACTCACTCACTCACTCACTCACTCACTCTATGCCAAAATGAAGCATTGTTTTCCAAATAGGATTATTTCTTTTGAAACCAAAAGACAACATGGTTGTCCCTTTGAAGGTCAAGCAACTGAAACATCCTACTCAAATATATCACATTACTTTAACAACCACATATAGGTATACCCGTCTTACATAATTAAAATCATAGACGAAAACTATTTTGGAATTTGGGGAATTTTTCCAAAACACATTTTTGTTGACCCCCATCGTATTGGCTGTCCATGCAGAAAGATGCTCATCTTTTGTTTTGTGATTATACATGTTTGTGTGGCGTGTTTGAGAGGCATGGAGAGATGTCAGATGGGGTTTCAAGTAAATATTGGTCTGTTCTGTGTAAATTACATCTCCAGTGTTCTCCTGGTCTAATGGAAGGCTAGGGATGGGTGGTGGGACAACTCTATTGTCACTGATCTGCCCCGAAAATAGTAAATGTGTTGGTGTGGATATCTCTAAGCTCTGATATGTGTGCTGGGTAGGAGGGGAATGGTATCAGTATAGTATTGTTGGAGCACTGAGCTGTGGTGACATACTTTTAAGGTAAGGAATGCCATCAGAAAGCAGCAATTGGGATTTTATACAGAGACAGTGTCAGCTATGTTGTACTGAAGAGGTTTAAAGGTAAAAACTACATTTTAGGATGGAAGTATATATAATTATGACTATGGAGTCCTATGATATCAATGTTAAGGGAGCTCGATGGACACTTTCAGATGTAAAGAATTTTTACCTAGATAACGATGTGATATGAAGATTTATCATATACTTGGCAGCGAGATAGTCTGATGAAAAGGAGTGGAATAAATGGCATGTCTCACCTGAGTGACAGTGCAGGATTGTTGTCCAGCTGCACACCAATGACAAATAACTTGAAATGTAGTTGTGTCATGAGCAGAAGTTTTACCTTGAGCAACAAGGTGCAAGGATGGTTGAATTTTCTCACATCAACAACTAGCAAGTGAATATCGGTAATATAGAGCGAAGCTACGCACAGAAACACAAAAAGATGATAGAACATGTATTATGTAGGGTTGGACATACTTTCACACTGACTATATTCTTGCTTCTTAGAGATTGTTGAGTTCATGGAAAACAATATATTTGAGATAGAGGTAAATTATAATGTTTACATATGTGAATGAAAAAGGAAAGCAAGATAAACAAATATGAATAAAAAACATGGTACATACATAAAATATGATAATGAACCACAGTGAGAAAATGATTCGACAAAATAGTACAACAAACATTTGTTATCTAGCTGTATCTAAATTGACAGTATTCAGGCTTGAGTTAGCTGTATACATGCATGGTAAAACATGCGGAACTGCAACCTGCTATTGAAAAATGCAACCAAACATTTATGTCTACATTAATTGCTGCAATATTCAGACACAGGCATTATCTTTGATCTCACCCAGGCAGTTTGTCAACAGTAGACACATTAAGTACTTTCTAAATTCCTCTCAAAGACACATCATCACACCCAATCATCACGCCCATAA